GTGTGTGTGTAAGGACCAGCCCCAAGGTTTATGATTTAACTCATTACAGTGTTTCAATCCGCCTAATAAACTAGAATTTTAAGGATCCCAAGTTGGACATTTGTAGCCAACAGTTCTCAGCCTTTTTTTGTACCAGGACACATTTGTAAACATCAATGGCCAGTCCTGACCCAGTGCCCTCCCCACCCCCAGTCCCCAAAGCCCCAGTGTGTGGGGCATGGAGTGGGTGTGTGGGTCACGGGACCCTGAGCAGCCCCTCACAGGCTGGAACTCCACCAGCCTGCATGGGAAAAGCCACCATTTCCCATGGTTTTTCTCCTTTAAAGGAGAATCCATTTTTAAAGTGTGTTGATTTATTTTTAACATTTGTTCACAACCCTTTCATATATTCTTGTGACCTACTTTTGGGTCATGACCCACAGGTTGAGAAACACTGCCCTAGACCATCCCACCAACATGTTTCAGATCTTTGAGAGAAGCATTCAGCGGCCATACCCATTCAATCTTTTGCTTGCTTGTCTTGTCTTATCTTATCAACAATGCTAGTCAGTAGGTGTTGTGATGTGGTCTCTAGCTACTCAGAAATGGACTGAGATGACCGAATTCTGAAGAAGTCCAAACAGCTATTGGATGATACATAATATCCATCTTAACCTACAAAACGAGTAAATTTTAGAAAAGAAACAAATTTCACATACCTCACAAATTTTTTCTAATGATGGAACAAAGAAGTCATCACATACTATAGCCAAAGCATAGAACATATAAAGTGCCTGTGAGAAAAGAAAAAAGAAAGAAAATATTTCTCATTTACTTCCTCTATGTAAAACAGGAATAAAAATGATTAAATAATGCTTATTAAAAATGTAGAAACAAACAAAAAACCCCATTACTCTATTTTCTATCCACTATGAAAAAAATCCTGTTGATTATCATATGCTATAAAAGTAATATGTTCTCTTAACAGCATAGTTAACAATGGAATAATTGGAAAGTTACAGGACACTGAAGATTCAGTAATTTGGTGGAATGGGATGCCACGGTAGAGCATAAAGATACTATTATAAAAGACAGTGCTTTGGAAAGAACAATGGTCATTATTTATGTTTTCAATTAATTACATAGGTATGTAATTAAGGCAAAGATAATGTCAGACTATATGCTGGGCAAAGTATAATCATATCCCTGAAATAAATGGTATGTGACTTTGGCAAAAATCTTGGGGACTGTAATTATGAATACATGCTATTCTGACCATACTCTATGTGGCATGCCTCCACAGGATTTTCAATCCTGAAGTCTTCACTCAACCAAACTCATTTATTTTACTTTCCTAGAGCTGGGATTACAAGGCTGAGCTTCAAAGGCCATTAAAATAAGTCCCCTGTTCCTGCAGTAAAATGTAAAGCCCAGGATCATGTGTTTCAGATTTCACCTATATACTCTCGGGTTTCAAGGATCTTATTATTGCACAAATGTACAAGGGAACAGTCATACTCTCTTGTGCACATGACAACCAGAATGCCGAAACCTGTGCATACAGGGTACAATTCTGGTTGCAGTCAAATCAACAGCAAACATAAAACAGGGCCAGGATTTCTCTTCACATTAGGATAATAGGAAAATAGGCCTGGAAGGGACCTCACAAAACCATCTAGTCCAGCCCCTTGCTCAAGGCAGAATCATCCTGGATTAAATCATCCCTGTCTGTCCAATCTGCTCTTGAAAATTTCCAGGGATGGAGATTCCACATCTCCTCTAAGTAGCCTGTTCTAATGCTTGACAACTCTTATAGTCAGAAAGTTCTTCCTAATTTCCAACCTAAATTTCGTCTGCTGTATCTTGAGGTCATTGCTCCTAGTCCTGTCCCCTATGACCACAGAGAAATGCCCATCTCCACATCCTCTCTGTAATCACCCTGAAGGTATTTGAAGACTGTTATCAAATCCCCGCCTCAGTCTTCTCTTCTCCAGACTAAATAACCCCTAACTCTTTCAGCTTTTCCTCATGACTTATGCTTCCTAGGCTTCTAATCACTGTTGCTGCTCTCTGCTGGACTCTTTCTAATCTGTCCACATCCTTCTTGAAGTGTTGAGCCCAAACTGGACATGGTACTCCAGGTGAGGCCTCATCAGTGCTGAACAGAGCAGAAGAATCACTTCTCTTGATACAAGTGACATTCCTGTTAATATAACCCAGTATGCTTCTGGCTTTTTTTGCAACAAGAGCACACCACTGGCTTATATTTAATTTATGGTCTACTGTAATGCCCAGGTTCTTCTCTGCAATAACGCAGCCTACCCAAACATTTCCCAGCCTGAGCTGTGTATTATTAGGAAAATATAAAAACTGCCATTTTAGACTTGCATGCATATTTTGGAAGTGCTTCAATTGGCTTTTACTTGATGAACGTTTGGCTGCAAATGCACTAGTACAAATCTGTTGATATTCAGATATTCATTAAAAATGGGCAGTTAGGCTGAGTAATTCCTCACAAAATTATAAAAAAGAAGACAATAAAATGAGCCATACTAGGGCAAAACTTACACTAAAAATATGAAGCAGTACTGCTCCGTGTTGTCGTTCCTTGTTTGTAAACAAATCTGTAGGAAATTCAGTAATTGCTGAAAGAGAAAATATGTATTTTTAATTTTTAGAAGATATGTACATTTCTTATAAATGGAAGCCATCAAAATAAAGATGGATCTGTGGAAACATTTTATTGAAAACAGTAGCCATTCAGCTTCGTACACTGTAGGCTGGCCAAGGCTCTTGTGTTCACTTGGAAAAGCAAAATGCAGACCCTCAACTTGTTTAAATTTTGTCACTCCAGTGGGTCTATCCAATATTCAGTGACTATTTCCTCACTTTTACTACTTTACATTTTAATTATTCTTCCGAAGTGACCAGCAGAAAAGGAAAACTTTTCCCCAAGATAACATTCTGAGCTTGAGCTATAACTCACCACTTAAAACTAATACAATGGCTATAGCCCTTCCTTGGCCAGCCCTGGGCCAGCTTATCCCCATTATCCGGCTGCTTGACTCAAGGAACAAACCAAGGTTTGCCCTGGGATAATTCCTTATCCCTGAAAACTTTGGCTGTACCACCCTACAGCTGCAGCAGAGGCCTCTCTGCCAGCTCCAGGTAGTTTCCTCCTGATTGTGAAAGAATTCTAGGTCCCCCTCATTCATAGAAAGGGCTAGCCTGGAATACCACTTTCCCTGAAATCATGCTTTACCACAGGTAACCAGTAAGGTAACAAAACAACAGGAGGATTGATTGTATGGGAAAGAATTGGACACGAAAAACCGACCACATAGTTTGAAGACAAGACAAAAAGATAAGTAAAAGTTTCTCACCCCCTTATCTAGTTAAAATTTAGTCCTTCTAAGAGTTCTGCCAAGTATCTCTAGAGCAGTGGCTCTCAACCTTTTTTGTATCAGGACCCATTCGCAAACGTTGATAGCCAGTCCTTACCCAGTGCTGCTCACTCCCAACCCACTGCTCCATCACCTCCAGGCCCCTGCCCCACAGTGTGTGGTGAACTCTGACAGCCTGCAAGGGGAAAGCCATGGTTTCCCATGGTTTTTAATCCATTTTTAAAGTTTGTTGATCTGGTTTTTAAAGTGTATGCCTGACCCTTTAATATATTCTTACGACCTACATTTGGGTTATGACCCACAGGGTTGAGAAACACTACTCTGAAGATCAGTCATCCTGCTGACCCTGCCAGCCAGGGACCTTGACTCACACCAAGGCTTGGAATAATTCAAAGACAATCACTAGCTCACAGAAAGCTCCTAAATACCTTCAAACCAACCCTCCCTCCGCCCCCCCAAACACCACTACTGTTCTCTTTGGTGAAAAATCTGGGAATTTTCCACAAATGTTTCCTTCCTGGGACATCTGAAATTCCCCATATGAATTACCCACATCTCTGAGATACCTTCATTATCGTGGGGCTGATTTTCCCCATTATGGGCAGAAAATACCTTGGGTTTCCATCCAAACAATAGTCCTTTCAGCTCTGTGCCTGGGAGTGGTCATTGTTCTTGTCCTACTGAAATGACAAGGCATTGATCATTTCAAGCAAACTTGCCTCGCTATGGAACTAGATAGACAAAAGAGACAAAAGGAAAGAGCTGCAACCCAACATCACTAGGATCTATGACTTCCTCCCAGAACTATTTGCCACCTCTGCGATGGAACACGCGGATCTCGGATTGACCTCCTCAGCTATCTATGGACACCGATGACTTCCTTATCTACTGGAAGACTGCCATCCTCATATTGAGGGACTGCCAATGACAATGCATAAAACAACTGGCCAGGGATATTTAGCAGTTTTACCTTCTCTCTTTCCTTAGATATGCATTCCCCAGTTCCTTTGCCAAAAAAAGCTCTTAACTACAGGTCTGGCCATAACCCTTAACTAAGCTATATCCCAAAATTTTAAACATATATACAGACAGCATAACATAATCCACTGAAAAAATTACAAAATAAAATATATAAAATAAATTAATACAGCTTAATATTGTTTTTTGAATGAGACCAAACATAAGTGCTCTGGGTGCACTGAAGTGCTCTGGGTTAGAATACAAGGAAGTCGAGGAGAAAGGGACTTGACGGTGGGGGTCTACTACAAGCCACCCAACCAAGGGGAAGAGCTGGACCGGGAATTCTTAAGTCAGCTCATGGAGGTAGTTAGGTCAAAAGACGTGGTCATCATGGGGGACCTGAACTTTCCAGACATCTGCTGAGAAGAGCAGTCAGCCAGGTCTGACCGCTCACGTAGGTTCCTAGCCTAGATACAGGACCTCCATCTAACTCAGGAGGTATACAGCCCCACCAGGGGAGACGCCTTGTTGGATCTGGTGCTGGCCACAGGTGATAACCTCGTGGGGGCTGCGGCTGCTTGACCACCTGGGCGACAGCGATCATTACCTGCTGGAATTCACCATCCAGCGCAAGGTAGCAAAAGCCTGCAGCAAGGCAGCAGCCCAGGACTTCAGGAGGGCAGATTTCAATGAGATAAGAATAGTTGGGGAAGTACTGAGGTCCCGGAGGGGAGGGGAGTTGGGTGTCCAAGAAGAGTGGTCGTTCCTTAAGGAGACGATCCTCCATGCCCAAAGGGAGGTAATCCCAACAAGGGTCAAAGGGGGAAGAGGGTGAAAAAGCCTCCATGGCTCACCAAAAGCATACAGGAACATCTCCTAGCTAAAAGGAAGGTGTACACCCAATGGAAGGGAAGGGCCATCACCAGGGAAGACTATACCTCGGTTGCTTGGGGCTGCAGGGGGGCGGCCAGGAAGGCAAAGGCAGAGATGGAACTGGGACTAGCTACCCAGATTAAGGACAACAAGAAGTCCTTTTTTAAATACATAGGGGGCAAAAAGAAGGTACCTGGTAACGTGGGGCCTCTGCAAGACATGCTAGGAAATCTGGTTGTCACACCAGATGACAAGGCTAACCTATTTAATGATTTCTTTGCCTCCATTTTCCTCAACAGGGACCAGATCAGCCCATCCACTGGGACCCCCTCAGGCCCCGGGGGAGGTGCACCCAGGCCTAGGGTCAGTGAGGATCTAGTCAGGGAACTTCTGGAGGGATTGGACATATTTAAATCAGCTGGTCCTGACAACCTCCACCCCAGAGTGCTGAGGTAATTAGCAGAGGTCAGTGCGGGACCCCGGCACAGCTTTATGAGCACTCGTGGTGCTCTGGTGTGGTGCCAGAGGACTGAAAAAGGGCCAATGTGGTTCCCATTTTCAAAAAAGGGAGGAAGGAGGACCCAGGGAACTATAGGCCAGTTAGTCTTACCTCAATCCCGGGTAAGCTTTTTGAGAGAATTATCCTGGCGCATGTCCACGAGGGGCCAGCAGGGGAGGTTATGCTTAGGGGCAACCAACATGGGTTAATTAGAGGCCGGTCCTGTCAGACCAACCTGGTGGCCTTCTATGACTGGGTAACAAAATCCTTAGACGCAGGGGTAGCAGGGGACGTAGTCTTTCTGGACTTCAGGAAGGCCTTCGACACTGTCTAACCCCATTTTCAATAAAAAACTAGGAGACTGTGGCGTCGACACCTACACAGTCAAATGGGTTGTTAACTGGCTGGAGGGCCGCACCCAGAGACTGGTGGTCATTTTCGACTTGGAGGGATGTGGGCAGTGGGGTCCCCCAGGGCTCAGTCCTCAGACCCGCACTGTTCAACATCTTCATCAGTGACTTGGACGAGGGGGTAAAAAGCATCCTATTCAAATTTGCTGATGACACTAAGATGTGGGGAGATGTGGGCACACTAGAAGGGAGGAATAGGCTGCAATTGGACCTAGGCAGGTTACAGGGGTGGGCAGATGAGAACAGGATGAGTTTCAACACTGACAAGTGCAAGGTGCTGCACCTGCAGTCAGGAAGGCCAACCGCACCTTGTCATGCATCCACAGATGCATCACAAGCAGGTCCAAGGAGGTGATCCTCCCCCTCTATGCGACACTGGTCAGGCCGCAGTTAGAGTACTGTGTCCAGTTCTGGGTGCCGCACTTCAGGAGGGATGTGGACAGCATTGAGAGGGTCCGGAGGAGGGCCACCCTCATGACCAGGGGTCAGCAGGGCAGGCCCTATGAGGAGAGGCCAAGGGGCTTGAACCTGTTCAGCCTCCACAAGAGAAGGCTGAGGGGGGATCTAGTGGCCTGTTACAAACTAGTCAGAGGGGAC